GCAACAGGCAGCAAAAACGCATATTGCAACGACCCTGTCTGTGTGTGTGTATGTTTGTGTGTGTGTTCGTCCGTCCGGGTATTTCAACTCGTTAACCGCGCAAGCTTTGAAGCTGAAATTTTGCCAGTGTGCTCCCCAGTCAGGTACCACCCCGGGATCGCAGTTTCAACCTTCACACACGTCTGGGCCCCGCATACGGGCGCGTGGAAGTTTTGGCGCGAAAATCGCTAACTCGGGAACGAGAAAAGCTAGAAAGCTGAAACTTTGGGATAATGTTCCCCATCCGTATACGACAAAAAGGTTGCAAATTCAGCTGTCCAGGACTGCCCGGGGCCCACGTACGTGAAAATTATGGTGGGAGAATTCATAACTCGCGAATGAGGAAAGCTAGAAAGTTGAAACTTTGGAGGAATGTTCCCTGCCCATGCGCGACTAAAAATTTTCAAACTCAGCTGCCCAGGATTGTCCAGGGCTCAAGTACGGGCATGTGAAAATTCTGGCGCGAAAACCACTAACTCGGCAACGGGAAAAGCTAGAAAGCTAAAACTTTAAGGGAATGTTCCCCACTCATGTACGAGCAAAATCAGGTGTTTAGAAGCATTCGGAGCTCACGTACGGGCACGTGGGAATTTTGGCGCGGAAATCACTGACCCGGGAAAGGGAAAAGCTGGAAAGCTGAAACTTTAAGGGAATGTTCCCCACTCATGTGCGAGCAAAATCAAGTGTTTAGAGGCGCCCGAGCCCACGTATGGGCGTGTGAAAATTTTGACGCGAAAATCACTAACTCGAGAACGGGATAAGCTAGAAGGCTGAAACTTCAGGGGAATGTTTCCTACTCATGTGCGAGCAAAATCAGGTAGCTAGAAGCATTCGGGGCTCACGTACGGGCACGTGGGAATTTTGGCGCGGAAATCACTGACCGGGGAACGGTAAAAGCTGGAAAGCTGGAACTTTAAGGGAATGTTCCCCACTCATTTTCGAGCAAAATCAGGTGCTTAGAAGCATCCGGGGCTCACGTACGGGCACTTGGGAATTTTGGCGCGAAAATCACTAACGCGGGAATGAAGAAAGCTGGAGAGCTGAAATTTTACGGGAATGTTCCCTACTTATGTAGGAATAAAATCGGTTGTTTAGAGGCGCTCGAGAATACGCCACATGTGAGAGTTTTGGCACGGAAATTACTAACCCGGGAAAGGGAAAAGCTAGAAAGCTGAAACTTTATGGGAGTGCTCCCTGTTCACGTACGAATAAAATCAGGTGTTTAAAAGCGTCCGAGCCCACGTACGAGCGCGTGGAAATTTT